ATAATTTACCTCTGTTTAGTAAACTGATCTTTTACTGTAATCTCACGAGATTATAGTAAAACCAGCCGTTTTCCAGCGTTTGTAGACCGTTCTCCAGTGTTTGTAGACCGTTCTCCCTTCTTTTGGAGAACTGATCTACATATGCTTCATAAACGGCATTCACAGGAGAACTGAGCAGCGATCTATTACTGCTGGTTCATAAACGGTCACCTTTGTGTTGATATAAAAAGTAAATGAATGAGTTTCCAAAAGTTATAGCTTCAGCTATGAATTATTGGGCTTCATTGAGAAGATAACTTCTATTCATCTGTTAGGCCACAACATTTGTTTGTTTTTTTTTTAAATATTAATGAAGAATCAATTATAAGTTTGTTAATCTTTGTAGATATACAACTCCGAAATAATGAGCAATGGAAAGCACTGAGGGAGCTGTTTTTCACATATAGAGATTTTCCAACAAGTCATGAACTGTCTGAATATTTATCAGTTGCTTTTTTTTTCTCTCAACAATGAAAGGAGACGTTTCTACTTGATGACTGCAATGCATCCATTTGTAGGTCAAGCTAGGAGAAAAGTCATGATGTTTTTTCACACCGTATGACAGCAGATTCCTCACTTCCCACCGTTCACAATGTAAAACCCGTATGTAAATCTGCCTGGGTTACTGATTCATAGGGGAAAATTTACAGCCTAGAAAATTTCCGTACAAATTGGTGCAATTTCCTTAATTATTCATAATATTTGAAATGATTATACAGTTTTTATTGTACATTTTGTGACTAGGAAAGAAAACTGCAAATAAAAAATGTATTGCCGTTGAAGAACACAGTGCAAGAAAAATGCTCTGTAACTTTTAGTAAATCTCTTCCTCCCATAAAATAATGGGATCTACTTTCTAACTTCCATTGATAATACTCTTGTAGTACAGTAGGGGTATAGTATCAGCTATGCTGGTTGCATTACATGCTAGGTGGGTTAGTACTTGACATATCACCAAACTTCTAGTACACTCCCTCATCATCTCACGCCTTGACTACTGCAATTCTCTTCTCACTGGCCTACCCAAGTGCAGGCTCTCCCCGCTCCAGACCATCCTGAACTCAGCGGCCAGACTCATCCACCTCACCAACCGCTCCACCTCTGCCACCTCCCTCTGCCTCTCCCTCCAGTGGCTCCCAATTGCCCAACGCATAAAATTTAAACTTCTTATCCTGACCTACAAAGCCGTTCACAACACTGCCCCTGACTACCTCACCAACCTGATCCCCAAGTACCACCCTACCCGTACCCTTCGCTCCTCACAGGACCTCCTTCTATCCTGCTCCCTGGTCTCCTCCTCCCATGCACGACTGCAAGACTTCTCCAGGTCCTCCCCCATCCTCTGGAACTCACTACCCCAATCCATCAGACTATCGCCTTCCCTCCTCACATTCAGGCGCTCCCTCAAAACCCATCTCTTCAGGGAAGCCTACCCCACCCTCACCTAACGGCCACTCTACCTCTTTCCTCCCACCACTTCATTCCCCTCAGCCACTTCCTACTGTACCACTACCCCCTCCCTCCTAGATTGTAAGCTCGAAAGAGTAGGGCCCTCAATCCCCTCGTACGTTGTCTGTTATTGTTGTACTGTGCCATGTATTGTCCCCCCCTCTACTGTACAGCGCTGAGCAAACCCTTTGGCGCTATATAAACTCGATGTAATAATAATAATATAGGAAACTAGTCGTGAACAGCATAAAACTAAACATTATTTCCTCAAAGTAGGAGAAGATTCCTTCCTCTAGCAATCCACCCAATCTTTTGACAACCTTTTTAATCTGGTTTGTCAGTTACCATATTTATAAAAAAAATATATTTCAAGTTTTTAATATCTTTAATAGCTTTCATGAATTGAACAGCTATTTGGGTCATTGTGAAGAGCACACAGGTAAACATAATTTCCCTTATAAAGCAGAGCATTGACCATTCCTCTACCAATCCACCCAATCCGTTGACAGCCTTTTTGACCTGAATGGATTTTCAGTTATTCACCTTTTTTTAAAAAATGTTTAACATTTTTAATGTCTTTCATGGCTTGATCCCCATCCACCTTCCCATGAATTGAACAGGTCTTTGGGTGCTTGTGAAGAGTTAAACATATGCAAAGCAAATTCACCCAAATTTTGACAGCCTTTTTGTCCTGAATACATTTTCAATTTTGTAATATCTTTATGGACTTGCCCTCCCCCTCCATGAATAGGTAAAAGAATCCTTGGGACCCCACACTCGTTAACTTCTACCCTTCTTGAATTTGAGAATGCTGAGTTCTCTATGCATGCTATTTGAATGAGTAACAGTAGTTGGAATTATGAGGCAGTCGAGGGTATTACCATGTTGTCGGTCATAATGACACCACTCGTCCACCAATGAGCATTGATCCATGTTGGTTAAGCAATGTTAAAATAAATTACACCCTTGAAAAAAATGGGGGACCAATTGATTTGCTCAATGGGCCAGAAAGACTGGAGAATATCCAAGTACCTGTTAATGTGCCCAATCTAGGCTGAACCTTGGTTTTCAGATAATCCATTTTCTCATCTCTACATCTTTTTCAAGCTTACAATTCCCGTTTGAAAAAATAAAATAATTTCATCCTAAAACAGACATATTGAAAGGGCCAAGTTGTCCTTCTGTGCTTCATTTTTATATGTACAGATAAGCATTTTAACAGCTTTCATGCATTGTTCAAACATCTGCTTCCTACTTTATCATTCTGCACAAGTATTAAAAGAAAATGCCAGGTACAATTTTTAAATGTATGTAGCCTGTATGTCCATGTTGAAGCTATATTCCTTTATTTTCCTTTTGCTTTTTTGAAGCCATTATTAGTAATTTTTTGGGTCTAGGGTATATACACCCCACCTCACCCCCTCGGTCTCCGCCCGAATCACACACCTACTGAGCGACATATCAGACTGGATGTCACTCCACTTCCTTAAACTAAATCTCCTCAAAACCGAGTTTCTTGTCTTCCCCCCAGCCCGGACACCACCCCCCATCATGTCCAACAACGCCACCATCAAACCCGCCCCGCAGGCCAGAGTACTTGGTGTCATTCTGGACTCCAACCTATCCTTCCAGCCCCAAGTCCAATCTTTAACAAACGCAGCGCACACCCACCCCCGCAACATCGCCAAAATACGCGCATTCCTCCCCAGAACCACTAAACAGCTCATCCACTCCCTCATCATATCACGACTCGACTACTGCAACTCCCTCCTCACTGGCCTGCCTCTCCGCTGCCTAGTTCAGTCCATCCTGAATACGGCTGACTCATTCACCTTTCCAACTGCTCCATCTCCACCACCCCCCTCTGCCAATCCCTCCACTGGCCTCCACTCAGTGTCCTCCACAATCCCTCCACTGCTCCACTCAGTGTCCTCCACCCCCCTCTCAATCCCTCCACTGGCCTCCACTCAGTGTCCTCCACCCCCCTCTGCCAATCCCTCCACTGTCTTTCGATTGCACAACGGATCAAATTCAAAATCCTAACACTGATGTACAAAGCCGTCCACCATACTGCCCCGTACTACATCACTGACCTAATATCCAAGTACCGCCCAGCATGCACACTCCGCTCCTCATAAGACCTCCTTCTCTCTAGTTTCCTGGTCTCCTCCTCCCATGCCCGCCTCCAGGACTTCTCCAGGGTGTCACCCATCCTCTGGAACTCCCTGCCCCAACCCATGATTATCACCTACTCTCCTCTCCTTTAGGTGCACCATGAAAACCCACCTCTTCAGGGAAGCCTACACCCCTTGCTAACTTGCCGACCTCCTCCACTCTTCCTACCACTCCATCCCCCACAGCTATCTCCTCCTGTGCCACCATCCTCTCCCTCCTAGATTGTAAGCTCGAAAGAGCAGGGCCCTCGATCCCCTCATGTTTTGCATTGTATTGGTATTGTTCTGTCACATGTTCTGTCCCCTTTGTAATGTACAGCGCTGAGCGAACTATCGGCGCTTTATAAATACTGTATAATAATAATAATAATAATACACAACAATGAGCCTTTATAGACAATGTGATTCCAAGTAAGCACTCACTCTTTAGTAATTGGAGACTCTTCATAAGATTTTGAGTTTTTTGTTTATGTTTTACTTTTAAAAGGAGTACTTATCCCAAGTAGAGACAAGCCAGTCTGCTAGGGTTTGAATGGCTGGTAAACTGATGGACCTAAAACAAGCAATCCACTGGTAACCTTAGAGATAGAAGGGTTAGGTTGGCTTAGTGTTAAGGTCAGTTTCCGGGGCATTCATAGAGGTATGGTTAGGGTTTAAGTTATTCTAAAGGCTGCAAACAAACAAACATGTCATACTTACCTGGTGTGCGGTTGTACTGCACAGGGCATCCCTGAACCTCCTCTTTTTGGATCTCTGCTGGCGCTCCTGGCCCTCACTCCTGTCGGGTCCCCCCACAGCAAGAAGCTTGGTATGGGGGCACCCAAGCATGTGCACTCCCTACTGCTGCTCTGTGTGTCAGTGGAGCTGTGGCTTGGCACTGCCCCCCCCCCTTTCTCATTGGCCCACTGGCTGTGATTGACAGCAATGGGAACCAATTGCTCCCATTGCTGTCTCAGCCAATGAGGAGAGGGAGTCCCAGGGTAGCAGAGACTCCAGTGCACATTGCTGGATCAAGAGGGGGCTTAGGTGAGTATTATGGGGGCTAGGAGGGATCTGCACAGAGAAGGTTTTTTACCTTCATGCATAGAATAAAATGCAACTCAATTGAAGTCAGTGGAAAGAATGCTCCTTACATTGGTGGTCAGTGGGATGAATGCTCTTTACTTTGGTGTCCAATGGGAAGAATGGTTCTTACATTGGAGATCACTAGGAAGAATGCACTTTACATTGGTAGTCAGTGGGATGAATGTTCCTACATTGGTGGTCAGTGGGAATAATGCTCCTTACATTGGTGGTCAGTGGGAAGAATGTCCCTTACATCGGTGATCAGTGAGAAGAATGTCCCTTACATTGGTGGTCAGTGGGAATAATGCTCCTTACATTGGTGGTCAGTGGGAAGAATGCTCCTTACATTGGTGGTCAGTGGGAAGAATGTCCTTACATTGGTGGTCAGTGGGAAGAATGCTCCTTACATTGGTGGTCAGTGGGAAGAATGTTCCTTACATTGGTGGTCAGTGGGAAGAATGTCCCTTACATTGGTGATCAGTGGGAAGAATGTCCCTTACATTGGTGGTCAGGGGGAAGAATGTCCCTTACATTGGTGATCAGTGGGAAGAATGTCCCTTACATTGGTGATCAGTGGAAAGAATGAGCCTTACATTTGTAGTCAGTGGGAAGAATGCCCCTTACATTGGAGATCAGTGGGAAGAATGTCCCTTACATTGGTGATCAGTGGGAAGAATGTCCCTTACATTGGTGATCAGTGGGAAGAATGTCCCTTACATGGTGATCAGAAGAAGAATGCCCCTTACATTGGTTGATCAGTGGGAAGAATGCCCCTTACATTGTGATCAGTGGGAAGAATGTTCCTTACATTGGTGATCAGTGGGAAGAATGTCCCTTACATTGGTGATCAGTGGGAAGAATGTCCCTTACATTGGTGATCAGTGGGAAGAATGTCCCTTACATTGGTGATCAGTGGGAAGAATGTCCCTTACATTGGTGGTCAGTGGGAAGAATGCCCCTTACATTGGTTGTCAGTGGGAAGAATGCCCCTTACATTGGTGATCAGTGGGAAGAATGTTCCTTACATTGGTGATCAGTGGGAAGAATGCACCTTACATTGGTGATCAGTGGGAAGAATGTCCCTTACATTGGTGATCAGTGGGAAGAATGCTCCTTACATTGGAGAACAGTGGGAAGAATGCCCCTTACATTGGTGATCAGTGGGAAGAATGTGCCTTACATTGGTGATCAGTGGGACGAATGTGCCTTACATTGGTGATCAGTGGGAAGAATGTTCACTAAACTGGTGGCCAGTGGGAAGGATGCTGTTTACAATGGTAGTCATTGGGAAGAATGCTCCTTACATTGGTTGTCAGTGGGAAGATGCTCTATGCTTTGGTGGGCTTTAAAAATAATGTTCCTTTCATTGGTAGTCAGTGGGAAGAACACAGTCCTTAATGTTGGGTTCAGAATGCCACCCTTGAAGACAGCTAAAAAAAAATCAATGATTTGTGCTACTGGCTCTGCCAAGTGGCATTGGCCCCAGAATTGTGAGGGCACCACCAAATTTGAGTTCAATCAGCCACAACTAAAGGAACCTCTAGCATCCTCTGGAGGAACCTTATGGTTCCATAGAACCCTGGCTGAGAATGGCTGGTTTAGAGACACTTGGAGTGAAATTCCTTTTAATGAACTACTGCACCATAAGGTAATGTAGTGCCATCTACCATACCCCACTATTGCCACAGCTCATGCAAGAAAACAGAACGACGCTATGGAGTTGTGTACTTTTTAAAATTTATTCTCAGTTCACACCTGTTCACGTTAATGAGGTGAGCAGAAATGGCGATCCATAAAAACTAAATTTTGCATACATGTACCAGGCAATTATAAGCAGCATTTTATGTGAGTATCTTATACAAAAATCATGCTTTGGGGACCATTCTTTCAAAACTAAATGAACTTGCATTTGCCAGTGTTGCTTATTGCCGTGATTGAGTTTCTCCAATGAAACAAAGGATGGCAGGCAGCACAGAGGAAAATAGTTACAGCCTATGCCTGCTACAGAATTGCACATCCAGTACAAAGGCCAAGTGTGCAAATGCTTTAATGGCTTTCATTAAAGGATGTTCAATGTATGAAATTCAGAGTATCTGGATGAGACGCCATTATTCCACTAACCATTATTGTGTCGTCATCTCTCTCTACATTCCCGGCAATGCCTTGCCAAAAGACGACATGTATGTAGCAGAGTAATCAAGCTCTTTTCTACACACAAAGACAGAGGAGAATAAGTTAGCCCATATGAAGATGTCTTTTGTGCCTTTTAAGAGTAAGTCAGTTCTTTTGAATTAATTCTCTCCGGCTATATGGAATACGGATAGCCCAGCTCACACTAGAGAATGAAAGATGAACTCTAGGCAGGCAATTATTACATTCGAGATACATATTGTATATGGAACCAGGTTCATCCACCAAAGGCTTTTTAACTCTTTTCAGCCAGTCTTGTGATCCAAGCAGGCACCTCTATCACAGAGCACAACCAGACTGTCCGCCTCCATTGAAGCAGCAGCATAGCTTGGTCAGGAGAACGCTCAGTCTGATGAATGGACAATGGAGCAGCAGGACGCAGATGAATCACCACTCTGCTCAATGTACTCTCTCGTGTTTTTCATGTTCAGTCTCAACACTTGTGCACTGCAGCAAAGACTGATTGGCCATCCCTTTTGTAATCTAAATATTGTTGTCACTTGGAGGCTTACATTAGAATCAGGTACTTTCACCAACTGAAATAAAAAATGCATTTTTAATTGGAAAAAAATAATTGCATTAATTGGTGTTTTTCAAATCTGTCTGGAGTTCAGCTTTAACAGATGGGCACATATGCTTAATTAAATTAAATATATATATATATATATATATATATATATATATATTGACACATATGTCAGGATACCAACCTACACACATACACACACTCATTATCTATACAAGCTGATGATATATCACATCAGTATGAAGTTTCTTTAAAGAGACCCTGCAGCCAGGCTACTCATTTCAACAAAAATATTTCTATCAGATTATATGCGCATTTAAAATAATATATAGTGCATATTATTTACCTTCGGTCTGCTCCCTTGTGTAGTCATCTAAAAGCCCTGTGACTGCTGCTGGGTGTTGCCATCTTGAATGTGATGTGAGCAGCCCCAGCATACCCACATGATACACTATAGTATTCCCCATTTGCCCTTTCCCCGCCTGGCTGCTACATAAGAGGTTATTTATCCCCCCTTATGTATTATACATGGAGCTCATATCCCCCCTTATGTATTATACATGGAGATCATATCCCCCCTTATGTATTATACATGGAGATCATATCCCTTATGTATTATACATGGTGATCATGTATTATACATGGAGATCATATCCCCCCTTATGTATTAATACATGGAGATCATATCCCCCCTTATGTATTATACATGGAGATCATATTTATGTATTATACATGGAGATCATATCCCCCCCTTATGTATGTATTATACATGGAGATCATATCCCCCCTTATGTATTATACATGGAGATCATATCCCCCCTTATGTATTATACATGGAGATCATATCCCCCCTTATGTATTATACATGGAGATCATATCCCCCCTTATGTATTATACATGGTGATCATATCCCCCCTTATGTATTATACATGGAGATCATATCCCCCCTTATGTATTATACATGGAGATCATATCCCCCCTTATGTATTATACATGGAGATCATATCCCCCCTTATGTTATTATGGAGATCATTTCCCCCCTTATGTATTATACATGGAGATCCCCCCTTATGTATTATACATGGAGATCATATCCCCCCTTATGTATTATACATGGAGATCATATCCCCCCTTAATGGGAGATCATATCCCCCCTTATGTATTATACATGGAGATCATATCCCCCCCCTTATGTATTATACATGGAGATCATATCCCCCCTTATGTATTATACATGGAGATCATATCCCCCCTTATGTATTATACATGGAGATCATATCCCCCCCCTTATGTATTATACATGGAGATCATATCCCCCCTTATGATCATATCCCCCCTTATGTATTATACATGGAGATCATATCCCCCCTTATGTATTATACGTGGAGATCATATCCCCCCTTATGTATTATACATGGAGATCATATCCCCCCTTATGTATTATACATGGAGATCATATCCCCCCTTATGTATTATACATGGAGATCATATCCCCCCTTATGTATTATACATGGAGATCATATCCCCCCTTATGTATTATAGAGGAGATCATATCCCCCCTTATGTATTATACATGGAGATCATATCCCCCCCTTATGTATTATACATGGAGATCATATCCCCCCTTAATCTCCTCTTCTCAAAAGAGAATACATTCAGTTATTCTAATCTTTCCTCCATAGATGATGCCTCTTATCAGTTTAGTTGCCCTTCTCTGTGCTTTCTCCCCAATGTTCTTTTTGGGAATTGGGAATTTGGGAATTGGTGCCCAAAACGGCACTGCACGGAAATGTAGTTTTAAGGAAAAAGGCCTGACAACACAGAATGACTGGAAAGAAGCTCCAGTCTGATCCAGAGGCATTCAGAAATCCATGCTCAGCTGCAGGAGACCTTGGGTACCACATATACAATGCTAGAATTTTCCAATTTTAAGCAAAATGGTAATGTTTTTTGGGTTGCCATTCACCTTTCAATTACATTTTTTTCTAAATAACAACCAAAAGTGGAGGAAAGTTGTAGTTGTAGCCGGGGCTGGATTCTGTGCAATCCTTGTTACAGATGTATCAGTCATTATTCAAGACTGGCCCCACCATATGTGATAGTGCTGCATATTACACCAGATGGATGGCTGCGCAGAGAGAGAGAGAGAGAGAGAGAGAGTGGGCGAAACACATAGTAACATGGCACGAGAAGCAAAAGTATAATAAAGCAGATGGTTTAAATCTCTTCCAATATAATGAACTGTTAAGTGATATCTACATTATATGAGCCGACTGAAAAAAAAAATCTTACCATGAGTATCTTCTAGAGTTCATGGGATCCTGTTCAAGAATAAGCCATACTTTAGCTCATATTTCTTTTTTTTGTTGTTGTTTTGAAGTAGAACTAAAAAAGAAACAGAATTAGCAGATAGATATTTGAGGTAGTAGAGGCTCTGTAGACCTCTCGGCCATAAAATAGTTCCCATTGCCTGCTAGCAATTTTCAGTTGTGTACAGTGTATGTGGCTTGCTGTACTATCACCGGGAGTAAGTGCCAGGATGACTAAACCCTTGTGCCCATGTGCGGAGTTATATCATCCAGGGGTGGACTGACCATTTGGAAACTCGGGCACTGCCCGAGGGCCCGGGGTCAGTAGAGGGCCCCATGAGATGCCCCTAGTACCTTTTTCATAGGCTTTTTTTTTAGTTTGGGCAAGGACACAGGGGGCCCCATGATCCCTTATTGCCTGGGGGCCCCATGAGTTGTCAGTCCGCCCATTATATCATCCATCAGTGAAGGCAACTAAAAACTCCTGATCCCAGAAAAAGATGCAAGGGTGGAGGAAGATGGAGTGATGAGGAAGCACATGGATGTAACAGCACTGGGGGTGGGGGTGGGGGGGGTACTTGAGTGCAATATTGTGCAATACCTACATATTATGACAAAAGCTCCTGGAGACCTGAAAAGTTTAATTCCACCTAAAATTGTTCTTCCAAAAATAAATAAATAAATAATTAAAATATTATTATTATTATTATACAGTATTTATAAAGCGCCAATAGTTCGCTCAGCGCTGTACATTACAAAGGGGGACAGAACATGTGACAGAAAAAT